TCATTGTCTTGATTTGGAATGCAAAGCTTTTTTCATTCAATAGAAATATCTCTTGGTAATGTTTGTTTCAGTCATTGGCTATTTTTCCTAGAAAGCAAATGAATTTTATTTTCTTGGAAAAACGAAAAAGAAAAATAATAATGTTTGTAATAAGCAAGACCCATGTAAATATATTTCTTTGATGTTTTGTACGTAATTGCACACAATTAATGTCTATACCCATGTATAGAAATATACATATAAATATGAAAGTATTTGTGCGTTTATGTGTATATATATCATGCATACACACACATGTGGGTAGCTGAGTGTTTACATAAACTTGACACACTTGACTGAAGTAGAAAATAAGACGTGATCATACTTTAACATTAGATTTATCTTGATTTAGTTGGCTTCTGATTTTACATTTCCCAGATGGTAGGGTTGTTTTTTGTTTGTGTTTTTTTCTGTTTGTGCAGGTTTTATGGGGTTTTTTTTAACAGTAAACCCATTGTACTTAAGTACAGTATTCTGATAAAGTGTGCAGTGAAGTTTTTCTTACCAGGCGTTACCTTGATGTGATGATTCTATACTTGTGCTTCGTCTTAGGACCATTTTATTTTATTATGAAGTATAAGAAATAAATTCTCTTGAAGGACTTTTTTTCCCCATTTTTAAAGATGAATAACATAGTAGATTCAAAATAATATCAGTGCAGAAATGCATTTTACCTTACAAAATTATATCTCAAACTTTGTGATATGTACTTAGTAACAACTTTAGAGTGGCATAATAAATAACAGGAAAAAAACCTGAAGCATGCTATTGGTGTTATTTGTGACAAAGTCCTATCTTAATTGTCTTAATTGACAGTAAGAAGATTTCTTGGTTCTCACGCCTCGTTTTTTAAACATCTTGGCCTAGCAGTGCTGCCATTGGCTGAACTGAAGTATATTCAAAATTCTCATCCTTGTGCTATAGCCTCTCATGTGGGTAAACCACTTTGTATAGACTTAAATTGGCTACATAGTAAAAGGGAATGAAGAAATCCCATCTCTACTGGAATAATTAGCAAATATAGAACTCTAGCTAGAAATAAACTTTGAAACTTAATCATATTTGAAAATAGAAATGCATCTTAAGGATAAGTGGGGATAGGGAGTGAAAGAGTTTGTAAATTAAGGGGGTTTTTTTAAATAGTTTGCATTTTGTTTAACTGTGTTCTCCTTTAGTGTGTTGTAGTGTCTGAAGAGTTTGTAGTTTCACAAAAAAAGTTGATACATAGTTTGTATTAAAAGTGCTGCAGATAAGAGTGAAACTGCTGATTCAGGGCTAAGAATTGTCATGATATTATTTTCTCTGACACTTTGTAGACATGAGTAATTCAAGTAGAACCTGTAGCTTATGAAGAATACTATTTATTCTTATTTCACAGAATAAAAAAAAAATAGCCAGAAGAAGCTTAATGACTTGCCAATAGTCACACTGGAAAAGAAAAATGAAATTTGGTAGTTGTGACCTGATGGAACTCAAGGGAACAGGTTCTGCAGCAGAGTCCCTCACTAATTCTGGACAAGGCATATGAGGAATGGAATAACAGTAGCACCATTTTAAAGATATTTTGTAATATTTCCTTTGTCTGGAGGAGTTTTGTGTTTCAGATAAATCAGCAATAGTATAACTCAAATACTGATAATGAACATTGAAGTATGTTGATTTAAAAATAATTTTTAAAATAGTGGCTTCCATTCTGCTCTGTGCACAAGGTTCTTCTCTTCCCAGAGTATCTAAAGCACATATGGAATGATCACATAAGTGACTACTGTCTATTTGAGCTGTGGGTTTACTGTAAGAAAATGATGAGCAATGTCATTTTCGCTCAGGTCAAGCCTGATTGTCATTAACATCAATGGCTTCAAATAGAACATTAGCTTGTTTCTTCCATGTTCTTTGGAGGGAACCATTGAATTTCTCTCAAAACTTGAAAAAAATAGACTTGGCATTATTGTTCATTTGCAACTGACCATGAAGCTGAGAGACTAGAAGAAAGGGGATGCACCTTTGGAAAAGAGGGGTCATTTTATTCTATGGTGATAGTCAAAGATAGTCTAGCCACTGAGTTTCTGAGAGGACTCCAAGCTCCTATATCAACTTGTATCCTGACTACCTGAAGAGACTGTGACAGTTGGCAAGTCATGCTCAAGAAATGGAGGCCAGGATAGGCATACAGACTTCTACTGATTTATTTAGACCTGTTCATTTATTAGAAAAAGTAACATAATAATATACGTATATGCATTTGGATATTGTGTACTGTTGAAGAAGAAACTGGTGAGCCAGAAGTTTCGGAGAAATGTGACTCCTGGAAAGGTGTACCTATAGGTGCATCACTGATTAAAGGAAGACTAGGGAAAATGTGGGTCCTCTCCAGAGGGAAACAGGAGACCTGGTTACCTGGGGTACGGAGAAGGCTCAGGTACTCAAAGCGTTTTTTTGCCTGTCTTCACTGGCAAGTGCTCAGACCCCACCGCACAAGTCCCAGAAGGCAAAGGCAGGGACTGGGAGAATGAAGAACTGCCCACTGTAGGAGAAGATAAGGTTCAAGAACATCCAAGGAACCTGAACGTGTACAAGTCCATGGGACCTGATGAGGTGGGTCCTGAGGGGACTGGCGCAGGAAGTTGTTAAGCGATTATCCATCATATTTGAGAAGTCGTGGTACTCTGGTGAAGTTCTCACAGACTGGAAAAGGGGAAACATAACCCCCATTTTTAAGAAGGGAAATAAAGAAGAACTACAGGCCAGTCAGTCTCACCTCTGTGCCTGGCAAGATTGTGGAGCATATCCTCCTGGAAACTGTGCTAAGGCACATGGAAAATAAGGAGGTGATTGGTGACAGCCAACATGCCTTCATTAGTGGCAAATCATGCCTGGCTTGGTGGCTTGCTGCAGTGGAGTTACAGCATTGTTAGATAAGGGAAGAGCAACTGACATCATCCACCTGGTCTTGTGCAAAGCATGTCGCCCATGACATCCTTGTCTCGACCTGGATTTGAAGGATGGACCACTGGGACAGATCTTATTTGATGGAGGAAGAATTGGCTGGATGGTCACACTCAAACAGCTGTGGTCAACAGCTTGATGTCCAAGTGGAGATTGGTGACGAGAGGTGTTCCGCAGGAGTCAGTATTGGAACCAGTGTTGTGTAACTTCTTTGTTGACAACATGGACGGTAGGATTGAGTGCACCCTCAGCAAGTTTGCCGATGACACCAACCTGTGTGGTGCACTGAACACATCCAGAGGGACCTTGACAGGCTTGAGAGGTGAGCCTTTGGGAACCTCAGGAAGTTCAACAAGGCCACGTGCAAGGTCCTGCACGTGTGTCGGGTCAATCCCAAGCACAAATACAGGCTGGGCAGAGAATGGATTGAGAGCAGCCCTGAAGAGTAGGACTTGGGTGGTGCTGGTTGATGAGAAGCTCAGTATGACCCAGTAGTGTGCACTTGCAGCCCAGAAAGCCAACTGTGTCCTGGGCTGCATCAAAAGAATCATTAGCAGCGCGTTGAGGGAGGTGATTCTCCCCCTCTACTCTGCTCTCGTGAGACCCCACCTGGAGTACTGTGTTCAGCTGTGGAGTCCCCAACATAAGAAGGACGTGGACCTGTTGGAGTGAGTTCAGAGGAGGGACATGAACATGGTCAGAGGATGTCCATATGAGGACAGGCTGAGAGAGTTGGTTTGTTCAGGCTGGAGAAGAGAAGTCTCCGGGGAGACCTTATGGCGGCCTTCCAGTACTTCAAGGGGGTCTAGAGTAGAGATGGGGAGCCACTCAAGGGGTGTAGTGATAGCATGAGGTTTTAAACTGAAAGAGGGTAGATTTAGATTAGATATTAAGAAGAAATTTTTTACAATGAGGGTGGGGAGACACTGGAGGAGGTTGCCCAGAGAAGTTGTTGATGCCCCATCCCTGGAGGTGTTCAAGACCAGGCTGGATGAGGCTTTGAGCAACCTGGTCTAGTGGAAAGTGTCCCTGTCCATGGCAGGGGGGTTGGACTAGATGATCTTTAAGGTGCCTTCCAACCTGGACTATTCTATGATTCTGTGATTCTAAGGAGTTCTTCAGCTGATCCAGACGAAGGAAGCTGAAGAGTGGGTAGGAGCAGTATGATGAGAATCTGATGAGCATCCAGCGCATGACATGTCCTCCATGTTCTAGCTACGTCTAAAGATCAGTCCTTTTTACTAAACCGTCCTATTGTGAGTCCATATTGAGCTGTGACACACTAAATTCCCTGCTGAATCATCACTGTCTAGATGTGTTCTGTAGGTAAAAGCAGCACTTGCTCTTACTAATTTGTGTAGAACTTTTTATTTAACTGTATTGGAACAAATTTTGTTTAAATATTCTTTTTGCCAAGTCACTGAGGTTACTGTTACTGCTCTGCTCTTTGCTTACAATACTGCCAATCCTTATTTTTAGAACTCATCTTAAGGCTTAAAATTGAAACTTTTTTGGTGACACTAAACAACTTTTTGTTATATGTTCAGCAATTTAGTAAAACCACAGTAGGTGATGAGACAGGATTTCATACTCCTACTTATGTGCAAATAACACTGCTTTCTTATTGAATGGATTTTGTCCTGTTTTTCAGATGGAAACAAATGTTATTACCAAAGTCTTTTGTTTTCAAACAAAATGCTTCTATCTCTTGTTTTAATGGTCTCAACAGAAGTGTTTAATCTGTCACCAGAAGTTTTCTTTTAGTAGCAACTGTTACTAATACTGAGTGAAAACTTGGGCTTCAGAGGAGTAAATGTGACTCAAATGTAGAGTTTGGTTTTGGCTTACTTGTACAAAGTAATCTTTCTCACTAGGTGGATTCTCTGAATGCCAAGAACTGAAAAATGATACATTTTTCTTTTACAGCAGAGAAAATACTCTTTGCTTTGTAAAAGTATAGAAGGCTTTTCTTTTACTGATGTTTTAAAAGATGAAATATTTATGTATTTTGACAGAAAGAAGAAAAAACAGTGCAAGGTAGAAAAGCTCCAAATAAACAAGACGTGTTTCTCTTAGATTTAGATGATTGTAAGTATCTTGATTAAAGCCTCATTTTTCCCATGGCATAAATTCAATTCAGTCAATTCAATGAATTTTGAATGTCCAAAACATTGATTCTGTTCATTTATCATACCAGCTTCCTGACAAAAAATATTTGGTTAAACTATCAACTTGTTTTTTAAGCATAATTATTTTGAATGTGAGTTTGGTTGTTTTAGAGAAATAGTTTAAAAATTTAGAATGTATCGGTATGTAAAACATTTATTTTGACAATTTTTGTATGTCTAGACTTGTTTTCTGTTAAAGTGGACTTATTTTCTCAGCTGCCAATGTATGTTACTTGTACAACATCTGTGCAAGCTGTGAACCAATTGTAGTACTATAGTAAGATACTAAAAATCTCAATTGTGAGGAACAGATTAGAATGTAATGTTGGAAGGGTAAGGTAGAGCTAACACCGGGTTTTGACTATACTTTGTAGAGCCATTTTTCAAGTTTACTTCTATAGATCCAACACATTAGAATTGTGTTAATATGTACTTTACACATAACTTGTAAATGAAAATGTGCTGCATAGTATGGATCAGACTGAACAATAAAATAGAGGAAAAAATAGGAAAGGAGGACAAAATGTTATTAACATAAATAATATGGTCTATGTATATATCGGTTTTGATTATATTTTCATTGCTTGTTTTCGGTGTTGGGGCTCCATGTCTGAAAAATAATCTTCTTTTATTAAGAAACATATGTATGAGGACAAAAAAGTTAGACCAAGACGTAAAACCTTTTTACACTTAATGAAAATAGCTCATTGTCCTTCCCCCTATTTTAAACTTTTTTTAAAAAGTTAAGTATTAATTGCCTTTTTACTTCTAGTCTGTCCTGTGACAACTCCTGTGGCAGTTCCTACAGCAGCTGTTTTGTCACCAAGTTTAACAGCAGACCTAGAGGGATTAAGTCTGTCCAGTTCATCAGTCATTGATGTAAGTAGCCTTTAAAAAGTGGAGTGAGTGTGTCTTAATTTAAGCATTTCACATGTTTTTGAGACAGTCATTAAAGTGTTTTTTCTTTAAAGTACTTTCACCTATAAAGGTCTTGTATGAAATTCTGGTTTACATGCAAATCTGGCAGCTTTTTTTGATTTGTAATAATTACATTCTGAGACATGGAGAAAAGTATGAATATTGCATGTCTGAGAAGGATGCCTTCAAGGATTTTTAACTTTCTCTTTCAGTCTGTCTTTTTCTCTACCTCAGGGAGGCTTTAATTCACAATTAATTTAGTTCATGTATCCAAACTATACAAATCTTTCAAATCAGCTAGCTGTTACACTATCAAAAATAAATACAAGAAAATCACATACCTGTTAATCCTCACCCTGCTTGTTTACCATATATGTCTCCAGTTATGACATTTTGTTACTTGGAAGTAATTTTTCATGAGAATACGAAGCATAACCCCTGGGTGCAACTAAAAAGGGTATAGATTTACAATCAGTGGTGTATCAGTATGTGTCATGATTCATTCTGCTAGTGCTGTTTGCTTTTTAGCACTTTCCATTAGGGAATCTCAAAACTATAGGTGTAATTAAGGTTAGCAAAGTCATGGCGGTAGAGGGCATTCCTCTGTTGGGGGAAGGGATAGTAGTTTGTGTTCTTTTTTGGCTGGTTTTATAATTTTACGTGTCCAATTTAAATTTGCAGTTTAATAAGGAATTGCAGCAGTATTGCATAAGAAACTTAACCTTGTGAAAGTGTCTGAGAGTGACCAGAAAAAATACCAGAGGCACAGGCATTTTTTAGCTTTGCCTTGTTTCTAAAGGGGCTGGTGTATAGAACCTACACTGTAACTTCAATAATCACTGGTAAAGTATTTTGTGCTGACTTTGGGAGCAACGCATTTGGAAAATTAAATACTTCTTACATAAAGAAGGTACATGAATAGTTTGACTCAAGAAATAAAAGATCTTAGCTGATGATTCAGTTTTGTGTTTACAGGCTTTAAAATTTGGTGTCGAAAAGGTAGACTTTCAGATAATGTGTTGGCTGTTAGCCTTATGTAGGCAAATTGTGATGCAATTTAAATTTCAAGCAGAGCAGCAACAATCTGCCCACACACAGCCACTTTAACTGATGCGTAGTTGTTCATGTATCACACAATCTGCAATGCTGGAAAGTGTATTCTATGTTATTTTGCAGTATAGTATGCAGTGTTAAGTGGCAAACCTGAGTTTAACTACAAATGTGTTGTTATTCCTGTGATTGCAGTACCACAGTTGCTTCTTGGCCATCCTTTATGGCTTTGACGGCTCAAAACACAGGCAATCATCTGTTTTCCTGGCTCTGAGTTAGCTAGGAATGACTCAGGTGTCTTTGCTTTACTTCAGAATTATCATCTTTGAGGGTAAATTAAAGATAGCAACCAGTAATGTTGGATGCTTGAGAACACTCCCTGTTCCAGCGTCTTGAGTGCTTTCATCGTCTACAATACATGAACACCACGTGCATACTCGTTTTCATCATGATTGACAGGATTCATTTGCTAAATTGCTTCTCCCCATACTTCAGAAGGTAGCTGCAATGAAATAGAGGTGTTAGAAAGAGCTCGAAGGTGTAGGCTCAACAGCAGAAGTTCTGCATGAAAAAGTTGATTCTGCAGAATACCTCTTTCTTGGTACTGCTGAGTTCCTGGTAAAACATGGAACCAGCAAAGAAGCGGAAACATTTCCTCCTACTCCCTGCTCTGGAAACAACCCAAATCACGTGAGAACTAATTGTTGCTGCCTGGATAGTGATTACATGTTTTGGGCTGTGTTAAGCTTTCAGATCTATGCTCAACTGGCGTTGCCATTGATAATAACTGCAAATGTATGTGAGGTCCTTTGCTGAGTTTTGTGCACCAGAAAGCAACAAAAATTAAATGGTAAGGTTAAAAGCTGTTCTTTCAGATGATATCCATATAGTGTAAAAAGTCTTGCCTGCGAGTAGTTAAATAACTGTTGTCACATGTGGTTCAGCACCATCAGGTAATTTTCTAAGAATGAAAACATAAAAACAGCTTTTAAGACTTTATGTGGGAATGTCCCTCTTAAAATAGTATTTTGAATTTCATCTGTGATGACTTAATTCTAAAAATATGGAGGATAGTTGTTGTACTTCATGAAACCTTTTCTTCCTTCAATGGGAAAGAAAATGAATTTAACTGTAGGGCACATGCCAAACTAACAGTGAGAAATTAATTTATTACTAGGCAGTGGAGAGAGCATGGAGTAAAAATAGATAAGTACAGTATATGACCCTAATATCAAAGAAATGTAGCAGCCACTTATCTTGGAATATGACAGGCAGTCTATTAGTCAAATAATTCAGCACTGTAATTGGATACACCTTTTAGAAAACTTACAACTCCAAATTCATAGCTGCCGAACATTGTAGAAAACATAAATACAAGAACAGTTTTACAGTAATGGTATGGGTCTCTTTAAATCTACAAAACCAAAAAGTATCCTTGAATAGAAACTACAGTGCACAACGTGATGCTTTGTCCTGCAGCTGATTTGTTTTTATGATTCATGTTTACATATAGCACATTTTCTGCTCACTTAAATGCATACATGTGTATTATAGTTTGTTCCAGGAAAAACAAAATTCTCTGGTAGTTTATGGGTAACTTTCTTGCAATGGGATGCAAAATGTAATAAAACCTTGTGCATGTTTCTACTCTGGTACATGTAGTCTATCTTCAAGTGGCTCAACCAAACCAGGTAACTGGGGTTGCCAGAGGCTATTGTGGGGCTTTTCGAGGAGTGCACACAAGCGAAGGCAGACCTGCATGCTTGGGGACGCTCTCCATTTGGAGTCGATTGAGCTTTAGATGGTTACATTTTCAGGCTTAAAAGATACTTGAAGATGTGGTGCCAGTGAAAAATAGGAGGCAAGAGAAAGCTGCGAGCTGTCAGTGTAAAGCAGTTGTCTTGAAACAGTGGAAATAGGTGTTGTCCCCTAAAGGGAGGTTATAAAGTGAGAGAAGGGGCAGCTGAAAGCAAAACTCATGAATGACCTAAGTACAGGGAGGGTTCTAACCTGCTGC